CTCTGGATTGTGATTTTTCTCTTATTATTTTAGAAAAAAACAGGAACAATGACTAGTTTTATTCAGTGGAGAAAACCTAAAAAACCTAAAAAGTCCTGTTAGAGTCTAAATTGAAGAATAATTGTTAGAGACTAAATTGAAGAATAATTTTATTTTTAGTAGGCATTAAAAGCAAAATCTTGTCAATTTTTAAAGCTCCCACATATTTTTTATATAACGGCAAACTTAAAAAAAGTTACTTGATCAAATACTTATACATGATGGTGTGTTTTAAAAAAAAATTTGCAACAATTTCTGCTTATTTAAATAGCCACTTATGCACGGTTCGTTGTAATACATCGTTTGCTATAATATGCTGTTATTAATAAAAACAAATCATTTTTCTTGCAAGAAATTAAATAAATTCATTCATTTTCCTTCAGCTTAGTCCCTTCATTTATCAGGGCTCACCATAGCGGAATAAACCGCCAACTTATCAAACAACACGGGTCAGCTGGGACTCAAATCATTGACATTATTGCTGTGAGGCAACAGTGCTAACCACTGAACCACCGTGTCGCCCAAATTAAATAAATATTAACTCATTACTCATATTAATAAAATACTCATATTAATAAAATTTATCAAAACTAATTATTGTAACTATAATAATAAAATAATAATAATAATAATCATACAAAAATGATGAATCTGTATAGGCAGACAGAAATACCAAAATCATAAAACAACAACAAAGAGACTAAACCGTTAACCAAAACTGAATGAAAAGTGGACAGCATATGCATCAAATATACCACTGCATGCTTAATAATCCATTTAAAATGCTTCTTGAGTATGTTTTCTTTATTTGTATTTACCTGATTGTGCATGTGATATGATATGGATATGTTTTCAGGAGATCCACTCATGACTTTTGAGTGTTTAAAAGTCAAATGCAACTCAAAAAATGATTAAAGCGTGAAGAGAAATGTGAGGATTATTCATTTAAAATGAATCCAACAATGACACCCACAAAAACCTGCAGACTGTAATGAAGAATGGCTCAGACACGAATCCAAACATGCTGCCTGAATGGATCTCCTTGGAAATAAATAAAGGAAAACAGGTCTGAATAAATATATATAGATAGAACTCATCTGCCTTTTATTATTATCTTTCACAGCATTGTAACCAAGGAGGCATCTTAACAAGTTCCCCTCAGACCTCACACAAGTCCTTTTCAGATATGAAAATACTATCAAATAAAAAGTCGACACTACTTTTTAAAGTCTCTTCTGCTTGTACAAACAAGTAGATTATCGATGCAAATACAATCAGTTCAAAGCAAACGAGATGATGATGTTAGTTTACACTGAGCAACAAACAATGAACACAAAAGTGAAATGCTAAAAGTGGCTCGATGCACACGAACTCAACGGAAAGAGAATCAAACCATACACACGACGAGCAAGGCCGAGAATGATTACAGTACATCTCACCAAAAAACAGCAACAAGAGGTCACACAATACAGCAGTTCATCTCTTCCATTAAAATAGGATGAACAATAAAATACACAGATTGGAGACACAAGTGAGTGCTTTGGGTCTGTCATACACATCTAGCAAACTTGCTCAGTTTTTCAGGTCGGCCCCAACAATTTGCTTTCCAGATAGCAAGATCTGCGGTGAGCAAAAGATCAAGCTTTCTGGGTAAACCTCGAAACTGAAAGACATTTTGCATGAAGAAAATGAGCTGTATGGAAAACAAATCTAGATTTAAAGGTCCCGTGAAATTAAAATAAAGTTTTTTAGATGTTAGTATCAGTATTGTTAGTTTTTAAGATATCTATTAGCTAATGTGTTATAAAATGCAGAGAAAATTCACGTTTAGAAGGTATAAAATTGATATAAAGCTTGTAGTTTGTCACTTCCGCCTAAATGAATCAACGATTTTAGTCACGTCAGCTCATTAAATTTTGACCAATCAAATGCTCTCTAGTATCTGACATGCCTCGCCCCCTTCAAGACGATTCTCATTTGCTTTTCTTTCAATGCGCTTGAGCTCAAGCACTCTCACTGCCAGAGCTGTGATAAAAACAAAAAACAATTGGCTGTTTTTTTTTTTTTATAGGGGAGGAGCTACACTATGTCTTGCCCACTCTTTGTGTTTTGGTTTAGATTAGGGATGTCCAGATCCGATCATGTGGTCGGAAATCGGGCCCGATCACGCGGTCTCAGACTCGATCGGAATCGGACGTTATCTCCAAATCAAGACTCGAATTTGTATGTATCTATATACAATATATATTCTCATTATTTTTGAACACATCTATAGTTATGTGGTGGCACAGAGTTAGACCTCTAGACCTTGTTGCAGAGAAGCTTGATTAAACGCCGGCAAAGTAGAATACGGAAGAAGCTTGAAGCGGAAGGCGCGAAAATGTCTGTGGTCTGAAAGTTGATGATGACAACATTGCCATAGCAAACTGTGAGATATGTGAAGTTAGAATTGCCTGCTGGGTATTTTAAGTTGAGGTGTTATTTGTTTTTATATTCGATTTTTAAAAATAATTATCGTTGCAGTAGAGTCCAAAAGTGAAGAATTTGTTATTTATTACTTGATTCAAGCTACCTCACAGAAGTGCTCTGTTTGTTAACAGAGATGTTGAATGTTAAAATAAGATGAATTAAATAAATAAGGAACATCCTGAATGTGTTTTTCCCTCACCTTTATTCTTTTTTTAAATTATAGAAGTATCGGATCTGGTTTCAATATTAGTAGATACTAAAAATCAAATTACTCTGACTCGAGGGGAAAAAAAACACTAATAAAATAAATTGAAAACAAATGGATAATTCAAAGCAATTCACGGGACCTTTAAGATTAATTCAAGTTCCATCTGAATTTGTCTTCTAAAATGAGCGTTTTTTCTCTGGTTCTTGTGTGTTTCACTTTTAGGGCAAAAAAGAGGGTATTTTCACTGCATTTAAAGTGAAATATCTGAACATAAACGTAGGAGATTGAGAAAAATGATATGGCACTTGCATTTGAACTCTTCATTTAATCCCTATGTTAAACCTGTAATATAATATGTGTAACATTTGTATATAATAATATTATATGTATCTAATAATATTATAAACATTTGTATTTTAAAATGTTATCAGTACTTTACAGAATAAAACAAAAAGTATGTTTTACTCAAAAAAAAACAATGAATTGAAAAAGCAGAGAAACTGAGAATTTTCAAGTGGTCTCTTAAAGAAATGCACTGCCTAGCACATTATAACCAATATAGGCTCATTCAGAAAATGTACCCCCGTAAACATTTCTGGAGAGTGCGATTTATGTAGCCAGAGGTACAAATGGCAGCATTTCATCTTTAAAACGAACACTACAGGGCAGGATGACAACGTTCCTTTTTTGCGCTACCAGCTGACCGCTAACCTCTGTGTGGACGGCTTTTCCGCCAATACCAGTTTGCTCAGTAGCTCGCCATATACATCAACGGATTTGAGACACAGAGAGGAGTTTATCATGAAAATGGAGTTCGTGTTTGGCAAAGAATGGTTCCAGAAAGCAGGTAAAACAAAAGGCAAAAAAATATAATAAACAAGTAAATAACAGGGTGAGAACGTGGTAAAATCAGAAAACGTGGTAAAAAAAAATCAGGCGAGGGCTTTTATTTTTCTGCATTGCTTTTCATAACACTGTCAGGTGGGTTTAGGAAAGTGGGTGGGCGGATCAATCTGTGCTTTTGAAAAAATTAATGGTTGGGCTTAAGAAAATAGGAGGATGGTTCCGTCAGTCGACAGTGGCCTCTGGTGGATTTAAAAAAGAACAGCAGGCGCAAATGGCACTCATGAGAGAAGTCTGAGATCTCAAAAAGCGTACACAACAAAAACAAAAAACAAAACTGCCAAAAAATATACCTCCTGGGATGTATTTGGTGCTCTCCAGAAATGTATACAGGGGTACGTTTTCAAAATGAGCATGGGTCAATTAAAACACCTACTGTTTGGATTTAAGCAAGTAAATACATCTATGATTGGATGTTTATTGCAGTTACCAATATGTTTCTGGCATGTTATATTTTTGGCCAAAAAAAAAAAATCTTTTTACGCTTGCTAATACAGTGCCAAACATACAACAACATGACAGAAACATGTTAAGCACAGCAATAAACCCTATGCATAGACCCTTAAAGGTACAGTTCACCCAAAAAAGAAAATTCTCTCATCATTTACACACCGTTGAGATATTTTGAAGAATTGGAAACCGGTAACCACTGACACACATAGTAGGAAAAACAAATACTATGGAAGTCGATGGTTACAGGTTTCCAACATTCTTCAAAATATCTTCTTTTTGTGTTCAGCAGAACAAAAACACTCACACTAGTTTGGAGCAAGTCAAGGGCGAGTAAATGATGATAGAATTGACTTTAAGTATTTGCTAACATGAATGCACTAAGCTAATAATCCTAACAACATCCATTCTCTGCAATAATCAAACTTCTCCTTTTGATTTTGGATTGAAATATGACCCAGGCATTTCTTGACAGTTTTTGTTTGACTCTCAACTGAACAGCTCTGACTCGCATATAGAAAGCATCACACCATTGTTTTGTTTTTTTTGTAAATTGGTCCACACTAGATCAATGGCAGTTTAGGTGCGTAACTGACCTGCTCTGGACCTGTCAGTGACTGGGCTTTACGTGCAGGACAAACCGGACCTCTTGAGGAGCTTCGAGAGAAACAGAGAGAGAGATAGAGATGGTGAAGATGCACAAAAGAGTGTGAACGAGAGCGAGGCTGATCCTCCTCTTTTGGCCGTCGTCTCTTGGCTCTCGAGCGCTCGTTTGGACCCTGCTGAATCTCTTGAAGTGGAACCCTTGTGCTCTGGCTGAGATTCTAAGGCAATGTCACATTACATATCAAAATGTACAACATCTATACATTGTGCAGTTGTGAGCGGAGGGTGAGATGTGGATGAGAGGTGCACGCGCGTGGGGGCGGCTCTATAGAACGGTAGCCTCCATCACTATGGCTGGATCCTCTATGTCCGCTTTACTCTGGACCATCCGCAACTCCAGCTGGGAAGGACTGGGTCTTCTGCCAGGACCTGCCATCTCTGAATACATAACAGAAAAACCAAAACGTTTCAGTGGGATGTGCTTGTTCATTGAAAGCACAAATGAAATTAAAACTAACCGTATGATTTTGTTAGCTCACATTGCTAGTTTTTTGGTGAACAATTTACTATTTAGATGGAAAACTAGATGGCAAACTTTGTAAGTGGAAAAACTGAACACTTCACTAGCGAGAAAGCAGCTAAACAAACCATCTGCAGTGAGAGGATAAAGAATGAGCCTCCTTCATTCAGCCTCTTTACTTTCTCTTTACTTTTACTCCTTTACTTTCGTGGATAAGGAAACGGTGTTGTACGCACTCCACTGAAGACATCTATTAGCCTTCATATTTAATTTTGTTTGTTAAGTGCAAAGATTTGTTTCAAAACTATTTCTAAATTCAGTTCTAATTTCCAGCAAATGAATAAATAAACAATAATAATGAAGTGTGGTTTAAAAAATTGAGTTATATTTAACTCCACACGTCCTGTTCTTATGCCCCATATGGTGATCCAGACATCTCCAAAACCCGACAGGATGACAAATCTAGACTAGTTTTTATTAAAACAAATATTAATATGCATATAATAAACAATACTGCTAATAATAACATTATATAACTGCATATTGTAATGAATGAACTGAAAAAGCCCCCCAAAGTGATGGCAGTGGTTTTTATATTAATGTAAAAAAATATTTTCATAACATTTTAATCCTTTAATTGTTTTCATTTGTAAAGATTTTTGAGTAATGCTGTACATCCTATGTGTATTAAGCAATGTGTCTCTGTGCTGGACTTTAGACCTGCTTTTATATGGTCAATGGTGCAGTCTTTTTCAGTTCCTCAAAATAGTAACACGCCCACAATGAGCCTTAACACACCTCTAGGCCCATGAGTCCACAAAGTGGTGCAAATGGATTTACTAAATAAACAACGTGGCGCAAAACAGGAAAATTAGGGTTGTGCTTGTCTGAAAATAGCAACAAATCACGCCGAAACACGTCTTGTGCATTATTGCACCAGGTGTATGATAGGCCCCATAGTGTAAGGCAGGGGTGTCAAACTCAGTTCCAAAAGGGCCGAAGCCCTGCACAGTTTAGTTCCAACCCTGCTCCAACACACTTACCTGTAGGTTTTAAACAAGCCTGAATGACTCAATTAGTTTGATCAGGTGTGTTTAATTAGGGTTGGAACTAAACTGTGCAGAGCTGCGGCCCTTTTGGAACTGAGTTTGACACCTGTGGTGTAAGGAGCACCAAAATCCGCATTTTGGGATAAAACCGAAAATTTCGACGAAAACGAAAATGCTTTCATTCATTCATTCATTTATTTTCTTTTTGGCTTAGTCCCTTTGTAAATCCGGGGTCGCCACAGTGGAATGAACCACCAACTTATCCAGCATGTTTTTACGCAGCAGATGCACTTCCAGCCGCAACCCATCTCTGGGAAACATCCACACACAATCGTTCACACTCGTACGCTATGGAGTTTTTAGCCCCCGAAAATGCTTTTTAATAATTAATTTTGAAAGACTTATAAAAAAACATATGCCAATAAAATAACCGTGTTTTGTTGACAGTCAGTGTTGGGTGTAATTAGTTACAAAGTAACTAGTTATCGCAATTAGATTACTAATCTGAAAAAAGTAAAGTAAGGGATTACTTGAAATTGTTATGTAATTTATGTAAGTTTCTTATAATTTACTTGCCTTAAATACTGTAAAAAATAGTTCTGGATTAATCAATTCAGAAATGTAATTCAAAATATAATATACAAATATCTTTTGGAGAATAATTGTATTTTTCAGCTAAATAAAGTTTCATTAATCAAAGTGTTTGAACATGCTTAAGAAACAATGAATTAAGTCAGAATTTAATGACACTATATGGCATGTTATACCACGAAATGGTGGTATAATATACCTCTATAAATAGGAATATCGTATGCATTTCTTGGTGAATATATTATTACTGATGCATTTAAACAATTTTATTAAATGCAGTTAAATTCAGTTGTATGCTTTAAAATAAGAGATTGTTCACCGAACATATGTAGGAATAGAAAGATTACACGTTTAATTCAAATGAGTTATTGCAAAAAATATATATACATTATATGCTTATATTTAAAATTTAATTTGGATTAGTTCTGTTTATTAAGATTGTATTTAATACAATTAATGTTTTATTTTACATTTTAATTTATTAATTAAATACATTTATTTTTGTTAGATTAGCTTTAGTTTTGGTAATGACTAATCTAATGTATATACACAAATATAGAAAATAATGGAATACAATTATATATATATAGATCTGTGAGGGGTTTACTCGTTTATGCTGTCTATATGGTATTTATTTCTTAAGTACTTGATATTTTATTACATAAAATGCTTGAAATAACAACATTTTTATTTTAGATTTAAAATGAATGTTATCAGTAGTTTACAGAATAAAACAAAATCATAACTTTACTTAAAAACATAACTATAAATTATAAATCTAGAGCAGCGGATCTCAGACTTTTTTCATCAAGTATCACCACAGAAAAAATTTGTCTCTCCAAGTACCACCAAAATGAGCAGTATTGAAATACAGTAGCGAAGTAAGCCCAGTAAACCAGCTATAACTCTACACAGTTACAAAAAACGTGGCAGATTACCTCAGAAATATAAGCTATATGTCATATATGGCATATTATATACATCATTTTTGGTAAATTTTGAAATGTGTGTAGCATGTACATGACATATTTCTTTCCTCCGCGTACCACTAGAAGGAAGCCTGCGTACCACTACTGGTACACGTACCACAGTTTGAGAACCACTGATCTAGTGCATTTTCAAGTGTTCTCTTAATATTATCCATAGCTGTACTGTATACATAATATGTGTGGATTACCGTGAGCATAAGATATAGTCCTCTGAATGACGTGATGCATAACGGAGAAGGTCTTCTCACATGCCGTCTGCAAAAGAAAGAAGAGCAGTAAGAAAAGCAGCTGATCAGCATTTTCCTCCAGTGCTGCATGATCACTGTGATGCATTTGTGGCCTGATGCCGTAATGCACTGTACCTTCAGGTCTGTTGGGTAATGATGAGTCCAGGCCAACAGCATAGCAGCAAATAGATCACCAGTGCCCACGAAAACCGCATCCACTTTCGGCACCTCTATCCGGATCCGCTGGGTCGTCCTCGTCCCGTCCGGCATCACTGCAGAAACAGGAGTCCATGCATTCATCTCTGTGTTCAGTGCATCGGTTTATCATGTATTAATTAGTACACATCTCTCACCCCCAAGCTACACAACACCACACGGGTGGTTCGAAGCAATGAACAGAAAACATTTGAATTCATATGCATTAAAATAAGCTCTGATACCAGTGAATTCTGCCATCTGTTGAAATCTCCACACAGTGAATCGTCTTTCACTGTTCAGCTGTTTGACACACTTTTAAATTCATAACAATGCAATACAATGCAATGTATTTTATTCCATGAAAACCCCTTTATTATACGACCTTACCCTAACCCCAACCTTCACAGGAAACCTGTGGCAAGATTTGAAAGCCAAAACACCCGTTGACTATGATTTAAAGGGTCACGAAACACCAAAACACATTTTTTGAGCTGCTGACAGTCGTATATGTGTCTCACACTGCTAAAAACACTATTAGGACACCTATATTTCACTAAAAAGTGTAAATTGGTTGTTTTTGCGTTATTTCAAGCAAATTTGTACTTCCTGTTTGAAACAAATTTTTGAAGCTGCGTCACGGTCATGACATAATAGCGTTGTATTCTAGCGTGCAGACTGGGCGTCTGTGCCAGAGTGAGTCTTATTACGTCTTACAGTGTGTTGCATTAATGCATGAGTAAGGCTTGGTTCAACCCAATCAGCGCGCTCTATTGTGAAACTTCATTAATATTCATTACTGTCACAGTGTTTAGACGACAGAGACGCCACGTTGTGTTGGCAAAACAAGCGTGAAGTGTTGCTTTTATAGTTTGCTGCAGTTAAGTTTCGTTTTCATTTTCTCTCTGTGAGAGCTCAGAGTCACGTGTGGATTAACAGTGTACGCGACGCTCGACAACAATAACTTACGTGTCTAAGGAGGTTTATTGTTTACCTGAGAGCTGTTCTCATCTGCAAACGCTGAGATCCAGATTGTAGTCTCCTCTAAATAAAGACGCGGCTCTAGTTGCTGGTGATTGTCCTGTCTCTACAGATTTGGTAAGTGAGCGACCAGTGCTCTTTGTTTATTCAGTTCGTATTTTATTCGTATCAAACAAACTATTGCACCGAGTGCAATAGTTAGCACTAACAGTTACAACCAAACTATAACCTCGTGTTGGATTTTGTGACCGGAATAACACACGCGGCTTTCTGACACTACCTGCCGTGTGCATCTAAGTTTCCAGGAAATGCTGAGTTTTTTTTTCTCTCATTCGCCGTGCGGTATCAAACATTGCATGAAAAATACACGCTTACAGCAGCGCCTCGAATCAAATATCACGTTTGTCGGGAGGGACATTAATGAATTCCCTGAATGAAAGAGCCAAACTGCAGTTAAAGTCCACCATTTAATAATTTGGCAAATAATTCGACTACAGATGTCCATGTAAACACAGTCACATTGTCCGCTGTGTGTGTGTGTGTGTTTTGACTCTGAAATTCAGCGCGCCCAAATAGACACTCCCATACCAAGCCACTTTTCTTCCTCCGACACTCCCCCCTAAACAGAGCTGGAAACGCCCACTTTTCTGACTTTTTCCAAAGTAGAGGTGTGAAAACACCCTGCTGAAACGAGGGGGTTTCATGGCCCTTTAACAATTCTGAATTACGAGTACACAAGACATGTCCTCATAAACCACCTTACAACTAGGTACACCTTACAACTAAAGTACAACTAGGTCATGCCTATGTCACTATATAAATTCAAACCAGGCTCATTCTGAAATCATAGTCCTGTAGATGTTTCTGGAGACCGCGAATTATGTAGCCTGAGGTAGGTATGGCTGCATTTCATTTTTTAAGGGAACGCTACGGGGCGGTATGACGCCGTTCGTTTTCACCCTTACCGGCTGACTGCTTACCTCCGTGTGGAGGGCTTTCCTGCTGTAACCAGTTTGTCCAATTGGCTCGTCGTGTACATCGGCGGACTTGAGATGCAGAGAGGAGCTGACCATGATGACAGGGTTTGAGTCCAGGAAAGAGCGGTTCCAAAAATCAGGTAAGACAAAAACAGAATCCAAAAAATAAAGTGAACGAGTTCATAACAGGGTGAGAATGTGGTAATATCCAAAAACGTAGTAAAAATCAGATGAGGGCTTTTCTTTTTCTGGACAGCTTTTGTAAATTGTTGGTTGGGTTCAGGGAAGTAAGCGGGCGGGCGGGTCAATCGGTAAAATTTGTTGGGTTCAGGTAAGGAGGAGGGTGGGTCAGCCGATTGGCCAGTTGCCCAGTCAATCATTCAGCCAGTGAGACAGCAGCCTCTGGTGGGTTTATGTGACAACATCGGGGGCGCGAACGGCGCTTTAGATTTGAGATGTGAAAAAGCGCACACAGCGGCCTCTAGCAGAGATTTACAAACCGGGACGTATTTCGCAGTCTCCAGAAACGATCATGGGACTATGTTTTCAGAATGACCCTGGGTTGTATAAATTTGTGTCTTTGTAAACCCCATCAACAAACACACACACACATTTGTATATATGGTTTACGAGGACTCTTCATTGATGCAATGTATTCTATACTGTGAAAAACACTTATTATATGGCCTTACCCTGGTCCTAACCTTAAACCAACCTTCAGAGGAAACCTGTGGCAAGATTTGACAGCCAAACACCACGTTATGTATGATTTAAGAATTTTGAATTACGAGTACACAAGACATTTCCTCATAAACCACCTTAATTGAGTACAGCTTGGTCATACCCATGTCAGTATACAAATTTGTGTCCTCACAAACCTGTAAATCACATAAACAAGTGCACGCACACACACACACACACACACACACACACAAACATGTCTGGTTTACTATCCTGGAAAAATCTATACATAGATTTTTCATACAAACTGTATTTTTCAGTGTACCTCAATTTAGGTCCCCACAGTCACTCAAGTTGGTGTGAATTCAGGTTTAAGTGACCACTAGTATATAAAACACACACACACACACACTCACACACTCACACACACACACACACACACACACACACACACACTTACAGATGCGCTGACTCCCGAGAGACACCAGGAATCTGTCCCCGAGACGAGGTGGCAGGTCAGAGCTGGTAATGACCACAGTGTCTGGGCCCATTTTATGCAGTAGATCCATCACCTGAACACAAACATTATTATTCTTGTTAATAATAATAATAATTGCTTAATATTAATATGCAATAAATGGATAAAAATATATTTTTTTTATTATTATTCATATTACTACTACTACTACAACACATACTAGATACAGTAATAATAAACAAATTCAAAACGTCAGTATTATTATTAACATTATTATTGCTATTATTATTAATTAAAAGCATGATATACTGAATAATAGTAGTGCAGAACTATTAGAAATAATACTGTTATGTTTTATATTACAACTAATATAATAAATGATAATAATAACCCTCATAATCATATCATCATGATCAACAAGCAGTTTTTTATATAAAAAAATATTGTATTAATTTTATATTTTGAAAAAGTTGTATTAGTTGGCGACATGGTGGCGCAGTGGGTAGCACTCTCGCCTCACAGCAAGAAGGTCGCTGGTTCGAGCCTTGGCTGGGTCAGTTGGCATGTCTGTGTGGAGTTAGCATGTTCTCCCCATGTTCATGAGAATTTATGGTCGTTTCCCAGTGATGGGTTGCAACTTGGAAGGGCATCGGCTGCATAAAACATATGCCGGATAGGTTGGCGGTTCATTCCGCTGTGGCGACCCCTAATAATTAAGGGACTAAGCCGAAAAGAAAATGAATGAATAAATGAAAACTTTTATTTATAACGGTAACGATAGTAATGATAACAATAGAAATTTGTACTATTAGTGATGATTCAAAATACCAATTGTTTATATATATATATATGTTATAAATACATGATTGTTAAATAATACATAATAAAAAAAAATCTAAAGTTTGAAAATTAATTTTATTATTAAAATAATATTACTACAATCAAATAACATTTTATAGCATTAATATGGCTATTTATATTTAATATTAATTTCATAAAAATAGTTTGAAAACATTATTCTTAATGTTAATAACAGCAAATGATAAAAAATTATGTAAAAAATAATTATATAACATGATATCCAACATTAAAATGAAAAGGATTTGTGTATAATTTGTATTCACAATTTCTTTTCTGCTTCCGTCCTTTCTATAAACCGACTTTCAGAGTCATTCCTCATTCATGCATTCAATCTCACCTCAACAGCATCTTTCTCTGTGCTAATATTCTTCCCTGTCAGCAGCCTACAAAGAACACAAAGAGTTCAGAAAATGTCTAGAAAAAATATATAAAATGATTTGCACGTACAACCTCAGCTGACCACCAGATGGCACTCCAGTACCACTCATCTATCAGCAAAAGCCAGCGGTTTGACATTTGCAGCACTGAATCATCCAATCACAAGAGCTTTTCTACTCACTCGGCCTCAAACTGGTTGGGTGTGATGATGTCGGCCACCGGGACCACTTTATTCTTGTACACGGGATGGAGATTCTGAGGAACATACTGCAAGAGGACAATGGGTAAAGCTATATTAAAATCTCATTCCGAATGCTGAAGGAAGAAATAAGAGGGAAAAAATGAAGGAGAGCTTACCATTGACCCATGATCACCTAAGACAGGGTCACAAACTGACAAGAAGAACAGAAGAAAGCTAGTTACACTTTAATCTGCAAGTGTTAACGTACAGTCCTGAACTGTTCAAACTACTTCACTGTTTCAGAGAAAAGTCTCTTTAGCTCAGCAGGGCTACATTTATTTATGTTAGGAATAATAAAGCTTTAATAGTGTAAAAACGCTTGCTATTGAAAATAAATATAAAATTAATTCAAATTAACAAGTAAAGCTTTGTTTTCGGCATCATTTTTCCCTTAGCATCACCAGATCTGTCAGAAATTATTCTAATGTGCTCATTTGGTGTTCATTAATATTAATGTCATGCTTGTGCTGGATAATTTATATATACATATATATTACTTTTAATCAACCAGCAAGGTTTTTTTTGACTGGAAATGACACAGGTTTTTCCAAAAAGACAATAAGACGATGTACATGATGCAACATTGTGAGGAAAAAAATGTTTATATTTTAATAAAAGTGGCTTGTCCAAAACTCTTCATATCCTTCTCAATATAGAATAGAGAAGGGTTTATTTCCTATTACAGCAATCAAATGCTTGCTATAATGTCTATAATGTCTTGTTTTACTTGTCTACACTGTTATTTTTGCTCATTCGTCTTTAGTGATGAGTAGGCCCAGACAGAATCTGCGAGCGCAGAATTCCACAGATTTTCCGCAGATTTTTAGCCCATCATTAATTCAGTTTATTTACTTGAGTAAATGTCTTTAGATATATATTTATTTAGTTTTTAAATTATTTACAGTCATATTATTGACTAATATGAAAATGTTCATCTGATTTATTAGATCTTTTAGTAGATGTATGAGAGACCTGCTTTGTTTACCAAATAAAGTAAATCTAATTGGGTTTGCATTTTAAACAATGAATAAAAGTTACAAATGTATTATTTTTTATTTCACATATTAAGGTTTTAGTTATGATACTACCAAAATAATTCCGCAGAAATCTGCAGATTTTTACTAGAATTCTCTGTAGAAATAGCAAAAAACATCCGCAGATTGCGTCTGGCCCTGGCGATGAGCTCCAACCCTTTTAGATGGAAGGTCTCCTTGCCGTCACCCTGATCTTTAGTTCCCTCCTCAGATTCTCAATTGGATTTATGTCAGGACTCTGGCTGGGCCACTCGAAAATGTTAATATTTGATGAAGCGTTAATGAATCTTATGTTAAAGTAACTTTAAGTCAGAATTTGCCAGAGGTTTGACTGTATATACATATACAGTATTTAAATTGAAGATGAAAAACTCTCATATAATTGAAATGTAACATTATGTATGCATTATAAGTGGCTAAGGACAAAAGTTACCCCTTACATTCATTTTTACATAACAAAGTACAAATGTTTCAAGGTCAGAAGAGTTAAGAAATATGTCAAAATAAATAAATTAACATTATATATATATATATATATATATATATATATATATATATATATATATATATATATATATATATATATATATTAGTCATTTTGTGGATCAATTTAATGCATCTTTGCGGAATAAAATAATTAATTGCATTTGTCTTTTTCCGACCGGATTTTCATCTTAAGGTAAGGCAAATCTTTTCAAAGTTTACAATAATAGAAAAAAAAACCTCAAATGCAAATTTGGTGCATTTAATTCAAGTTGTTAGTGCAGCTGATTGCAGTATTGGTAACCTAGTAACCAGCAGTAAACAAGGCAAGCATAATGGAGACAGCTGATTGGTCATTCCGGTATAATGTTCGCTATGTCAGAGATTATTCAGCAAATATATTTCGATCTGCAATTATTCGCATAAAACCTTTTTCGACCAATTTCAGAACCACCTCAAGCCAATACTTCAAAATGCGCATTAACACAGGGTGATTAAAACTAAACTACAGATGCCAAATTTGGGAACCATTTAAAAACCTGTGAAAACTACGTGTGTATAATGTACTTTCTATATCTATGTGGCATTTCTGTTCACTGATAACGAAAGAGAGTAAAACACTCACCATATACGAGGTTAGGATTGGCCCTCTTCAGCTCTTGTACAATATCAGCAACCATCTCCAGGAATGATGTATCTCTATTGTAACCTGCAGCAACAGAGAGAAAAGAGCTTTTATCAACACAATTTGTTTTCCTGCTGGCAACTTCTGATGCTTGACTCCATTTGTCCCAGGTCAAAATGCTCTTCCTGGCCTAAGTAGAAAAACTGACCAGTCAACACAAGCAAGAGGGTCATACTCAGGTTATTCTCATTCAGCCTGAGAGCATCAAAACGGGTACAGGTTTGTTTAAGCATTCCTGAAATAGTAGTTTTTACACAAAGTTTCAGTGCTAACCATTGAGCCACCATGCCACCCTTTTATTAGTTTCAACCTTTTAGTAAAAGCCTATCATTTTCTTTTAGTTTATACTTTAAATGAAAATGAGAAATATTAGTCAATTTGCTTAAATAAAAAACGTTTTTTAACAAAACCTTTCCAGTTACATGATTTTGGTTATCCATAACAGTGTTTCTGCAAGTTTTACGACTGTAAATACAAGATATTTCTATGTTAAGCTTCTATGACAATCTACATTGTAAAAGCTCTCTAGAAAACTTAACATGAATTGAAAACTTTTATAGACCAATTAAATCATTTTTTTAGGATTAACATGTCCTCTAAATGTCAACGTAGAACATGTTGAGTTTTATTAGCAGCACTTAACAAAAAAAAAAACATCACAAGTTAGCGAAAATATGGCAATATCTTACTAAACCTTCTGATAACACTGTGCCACGGTGGCTCAGTGGTTAGCACTGTCGCCTCACAGCAAGAAAGTCACTGGTTCAAGCCCCGGCTGGGTCATTCTGTGTTTCTGTATGGAGTTTGCATGTTCTCCCCGTGTTGCGGTGCTTTTCCAGGTGCTCCGGTTTCCCTCACAGTCCAAAGACATGCGCTATAGGTTGGGTTAATTGGATTAACTAAATTGGCCGTAGTGTATGAGCGTGTGTGTGTGTGTGTGTGTGTGTGTGTGTGTGCTGGAATAGTTGGCGGTTCATTCCGCTGTGGCGACCCCTGGTAAAGCAAGGACTAAGATAAGGAAAATGAATAAATGAATGCTCTTGTTTAAGGTATGAGCTCATATGATATCAAATTTCTAAAATAAACAATCTTTTTTTTCGCATCTCAAATTGATGTCTTTTGACTTTAGGGTGCACAGATATTTGTACTGGAAAACTTCAAACTGAAAACTTGTACTAAAAGATAATTTTTTGGACTTTATCAGGACTTTTAAATAGATTTTTAGACGTAAGACTTGTATAACAACCCAGATAAGATGGACACCATTGTAACAATTACATATTACTGCAAAAAAAAGGGAAAATACATGTGAAACACAACTGGGTATATACACTGTATACCTGACAACCCTGCATAAATTATTTTATTAAGAGAAAATTCAAGAGTTCGCCCTTGCAGATGATTGATTATAAAGCATGTTTGGCATGCTGTCCAGGGAGAGAGCCCTGAGCTCGTGAGATCCTCGAGCCCGGGGCTCCCTCTCATTGCAGGGCGAGAGGGGAGTCTGAGTCTAGGTAGGTCTCGGGAACTCCCCTGCTTGATGGTGGTAAGTGTAATAATGTATTAGCTATGGAGATAGTTAGCTGAATTCATTGCTTGGCTATGATGATAATTTAATGTCAATTTATTTATGCTACATGTTTTGGTCTGTCGAAGGAAACCGGAGCGCCCGTGGAAAACCCACGCAAACACGGGGAGAACATACAACACAGAAAAGCCAACGAAAGGCACAGAAAGGCAACGATGCTAAAGATCCAAAGAAAATCGGCACACTGCCACTTTAGCTCTCAAAAAGTCTGTAATGTGTAATGTGACATTAAAGATTTTTTGAAAGCTACAAATGTTTGTTTTTGATCGAGCATCTGCCTTCAAGATTTTCTAGATCTGCGCACATTTCAGTTTTAGGCAATGATGCTAACCATTGGGCCTCTGTGCTGCCCTGATAAGGAAAGTGGAGGAGTAGAGGTGGAAGGGGGGAATTCTTCAAGACGAAGATGGCGAGGGTAAGATGCTCTGGTTATTTATAGTGATTTAGGAATCCTCTGATTGGTGGATCGTGTGTTAGCTAACCAGAACCAGCTGCTATCAATCATAAGTGTGTGCTCCTCTTGAAATTAGTTTATAAATAAACTTTCATTCATTCATTTCCTTTTCAGCTTAGTCCCTTTATTAATCCAGAATCGCCACAGCGGATTGAACCGCCAACTTATCCAGCCCGTTTTATGCAGCGGATGCCCTTCCAGCTGCAATCTATCTCTGGAAAACACCCATACACACTCACTCACTACGGACAGTTTAGCCTACCCAATTCAGCTATAGCGCATGTCTTTGGACTGTGGGGAAACCGCAGCACCCAGAGGAAACAGCAGGGAGAATAAATAAATTTCATGAAGCTAAATTAAGTAACACCTGGACAATACAAAACGTACTATTCAAATAACGCATTAAACCTGAAACTCCATGTTCAACAGAGAAAAGCTTGCAGAGGATGTAGCGTAAAGAGGTGTTGTAGCTGTGAAAGCGTCAGGGTCAGTCTCCAGCTATCGGTCATCCTGTGGCTCCGTCTCTACAGTCAGGTAAATAAATCCTACCAGTGACTCATCTGACCTTCACCGTTTTCATGATGTCATGAAGTGACACACACTAAACTCGCACTGCGACAACACAAAACACGGCTAAAAAGGTGTGTGGGAGGATTGCAATAGCAGTTCAAAACAATTCACAATAAGAAATCACAGCTGGGACACGCGCGACGTGTCTGAGGAGAGATGCGGTGGGGAGGGGTGAGAAGGGTGCGCGACGATGCCTATTTGAGGACCAGGAGGGAGATGCGAGATTACCGGGAGATTATCACTCGTTTGTGGGCATCCGGAGACTCGTGAAACTTCCCGCCATACTCATAATTCTCTCTTCATATAGCCGTAAGCCTATTACATATGCATAAAACACTGTGATATAACCACGCTCGGATCGCTTTCTCACCGCAATCGAACCGCTCCAGGTCCGGTCCTCGATCCGTTTCAATCGAGCCGAGACCACCTCATTCGAGCGATCTCGGAGCGATTACTTTGGCGCGGAACAGAGCGCGATTGCCCTGTTTACATATGCCAAACGAACCGCGCTAACTGGGCAAACGAGATACGTTCCGAAACAAAAGTGTAGGTGTGAAAGCACCCTAGGTGTTCGATTGGTTATAGAGTTACTATGATGAAGGTGGCATACAAAATGTTTCTATCGTGACATACATCCACTTAAAACTGTGCTAAAAAAAAAAAAAAAAAAAAGTAGATTGGTGCATGATTTCATTCTTTAGGAACCAATCGGATTGTTGAAAGATGGGCGTTGCTAACAAAATGAAGGAAGATTGCCGAATGGACGAAAGTAGAACAGAAATGAGGCATGCACTGATAGCTCCGCCTTAAAGGGCTTCCATGTGACCTGGAAGGGAAGAAAGTCGTTTTGATGGGGAGAACTGCTTATGGTATTTGATTAAAGTTTATGAGTGCAAATTAATTTGTAAAAATATCGAAGTGCACAGACACATTGTTTATAACAAGAACTATATGCGTATAAAAATAAGGAGAGTACATTTTGATTTCACAACGACTTTTTTTTTGTTTGTTTATGATTTATTTAACATTTCTTTTCCATTTTACAAACATATCAAACAACCCTTACAGAAATAATAAAAGAAAACAAATTATAAATACAAATAAGAGTAATAAAAAAATAAATAAATAAATAGATAAAATAAAAATAAATTAAAATATTAATGAAATAAAACCAAATTACACAATGCGAGGCAGACGTCTACATTTATACAATAATCTCAATGTTACATTTCGAGTAATGAAAGATTACAAACTGATGTATTATTATTGTCAAGGGCTGGGGTGATCAGTCTAGATCCAGCTGGAGAGTTTTAACACCAGAAGAAAGGGCATCCCAAATTTTGCCAAATTTTCTGTTAGGTCTTTGAAGTGAGAATCTAATCTTTAGTTTTACAAAATACAAAACATCTTTCAGCCACCGTACATGCAAGGGTGGTTGACGGCTCTTACAGTTTAATAAAATTACATGCCTAGCAGGCAAAGTAAGAAAGGCCACAAAGTTTAAAAGCTAAGTGGGTAATGCAAAATGATCAGGCGTCACACCAAACAGGCCAATGATGGGTGATGGTGCTATATCTATAGAAGTAATGGCTGTAAGGGACTGAAATACTGAGCCCAAAATGAGGAAAAAGCTGGCCATGTCCAAATTTCACAAAGACTTTAAGTTAAATTTTATAAACGCAATGGTAATTTAAGATTATTCAACTGTTTTAATGCTTACACAATTAATTAGACGTGCTTTTGAACTATTTATTATGTGATATTTACGCGTCACATGAGCCTTCAGTTTCCTATTCTGAATTTTCAACAGAATCATTTAAAAAAATTTCTGCCAAATAGTTTTTGTAGAAACCGTGATACATTTTCCAGGCCAAAAATAAGATCATCAATTACAATTACGTTTCTGTGTCTCTCTTGGACTGTAGGTATATTCCTCTTTTCCTGTGTTTTTCCTCTATTTGCCTCCTCTGAAGGTGATGGTAAAGGAGAGCGTGTGCACCAGAGACTCCTCATCTGCTTTTACACACTCAGCAGAGCGGAGCGTCGGAGTGTGTGGAGCTCCAGCGAGACCGTGTGTGTGTGTCCTCTACGCTCCCTTAGTGCAGTGATTAGCGGAGGAACAGAGATGTGCTCACTTCCTGACCGACTACAGGCTAACCAAATCTAACATAATAAGACACACAAGACTAACAGATCCACTAAAGTTTCAGTTATTCAGAAATTCTTGTCGTCAATGCGACACTTAATAACACAATGCTGAAGTTTGAGCCTCTTATGTGATTGACATTTCATGATTATTTCATGTACTGGGGTTGATTTTTTCATTCATTTATTTTCCTTCAGCTTTGTCCCTTATTTATCAGGGGTCGCCACAGCGAAATGAACCGCCAAGTACTCTGGCATATGTTTTATGCAACATATGCAACCCATTAAAGGAAAACACCCATACACTTGCATTCCCACACGCACTCATACACTACGGTCAATTTTGTTTATCCAATTCACCTGTAGCGCATTTCTTTGGACTGTGGGGGAAACCTGACGTCAGAGAATAACTGCTGTTGCATGGTGGAAGTAAATGGTTAGATTTTTCCAAATGGTCCAAAATGTTTGGTTAACTCCAGAATTCGCCTCTCTAGCGTCTGTAATTTACTCTCGACTGGGGCAGCAGCCTCTTCAACTGTGGAGATTTGGATCTCAGCTGTCATTTTTACCACAGCTAATTACATAGCAGGATGATATCAAAGAAATCAACGATAATGCTGAAAATGCTGTCACCATTTACCAGCCTGAACTCACGAGGAAACGGGAGTATTTTACGTTTTGTCAGTTGAGTGGCTAATTCATACACATTCAGTCGTACAAAAATTTACGATTTTAAAAAAGAGGTGTGGCACCCAACCCAACCCCACCCCTACACCCAACCTTGTCTGTATAACTTGTATCTTGTATCACCTGCTATTGATATATCTTTATTTTGTTTATGTCTGTACATGCATTAATTTATATATTTGTAATTTTTTATTACTATTTATTTTTAATTGTTTGGTTTAATTTCTTAATTTCTTGGTTTTAATTTCTGTATTTATTGATTTAAAGTTCCTAAAATCAAAAAATACAGTGTTGTTGTTTTTTAAAAAACAATCTTTACTTCCATTTCATGACGACTTACATTTTTCCACTGTATGGTACGACCTGGTTTATTTCAATACAGCTCACTTTGGGGTGCTTTTCCACTATGCTTTTGTCATTAGGGGATGAGCAAATCGTACTAAATTGTATGAATGAGATTGTACGAATTCATACGAATTAGCCACTAAATCAAAAGATTACGAATTGCCGTGAGGTTGCGTTGCATTTATAGTTAATCATTCATCAAAAAATCTACGTTTCAAATTTTTAAAAAAACTGATGACTTCAGTGGTATTCTATAGTAAATATCCATAGTAAATATAGTTTAAAAAAATCAATACAGGTTACAGGTATCTAACATAATTCAAAATATATTAATACAGAAAAAAAAGAAACTCAAAAGGGTTTGGAACAATTTGAGGGTGAGCACTATCCCTTTAAGAACTTTCAAAAAAAATATCCCATTCAGAACTCTCCTGTGATGCATGTTAAAACACAATTTTACCACTAGTCTGTTTTACAGTATACGCATACAGAGCCAAAAGTACCTGTAGTTGAATATTAGACAAACATAGCTGAAGTCAGAATGATTAAGGCCCCTGTATATTTTTTCTCTTGCTTTTGTATTGTATGCCTTTTTGTTCTTTGTGTGTGTTTTGGTTTGTGTTTTGGCTTGATCATTGGTTTCTGAATTCCTCTGAGAATAGAGGGACATACACCTTGCAACACGCAGAAAACTGCCTTGTCTAAACACACTAGTTTAGAAGTAAGCGGCACTGGCTGTAAGTTTTCTACGTATATTTGGCTAGAAGTCTAGTTTAGATACGACGTGCTGCAAACAGTGAAGATGTTTTGATTGTTTATTTTCTGCTAAGCAGTTTAGAGGGTAATTTTTCAGCTAGTTTGGGGTTTTTGTTATATTGCTTTCTTTTATTTGGCACTGCTTGAAATCCTCTTTTTCCTTTAAGAACATACATTAATTGATTTATTTTGTTTTTTGAGATATTTCAACTTGTACATAATATTTAGCTGTTTGACTTCTTTTTACTTTTGCAAATAAATTTGTTTTGCTACTTTGCCACCAACTCTCTACAAAGTCGCATCAAAATATTACCTCTTTAACCCCTACACTGAAAACCCAAATGTTGTCTTTACTTAAAAAATTACGTAAAGTTAACTGAACATAACTTAAAATTTTGCATTTTGGTCATATCACTTAAAATATGAGTTAATTCAACTTGCGTACTATGAAAATGCGTAAACTTAAGATTTCAAGTGTAGTGAGCTCAAAATCGTAAATAATCCTTTGAGAGAAATAGGTCATTTTCACAAATATACTCTTGACTGTGAAATTCTAATATGTGCAAGGTCTTTTTTTAAATCAGAAAACAAATGGCTTCAGGTATAATTATTCATCATAATGTGAATAAATGGCTACTTATAATAATATTACACACACGAATATACATATATACATATACCGGTACATATACCGGTTTTGTAGATTATACTTAAATTGTTCAGTTCACCAAACTATTATATATACGCGTGTGTGTAATATTATTATAAGTAGCCATTTATTCACATTATGTGCTATATATATATATATATATATACACACACAGGCATATACTAATATACTAATAAGCATATATACTAATAAGCATAATTTGGGAAATAATTGAAAAAGAAAATAAATTCATAGGAGGGCGAATATATGTATACATGTATGTAACTGTATAATGCGTGTATGTATGTAAATGTGTTGTGCTGTCCCTGGGCCCCATTGGGTCCCACAAAGGGCCCATATACTATTAGGAAATTATATCAACTTTTTCCTTAATGTGGCATGACTAAAAATGAAAGCACTGACCTGTAAGGACATAGTCGTAGTGGTTGACGTTGTTCAGTTTGATCCCCTCATACAAGACGTGAAGCTCATCGGCGGTCAAGACCTGTCCCTTCCAGTGAGCGTAACCTGAGTAAAGACAGATCACAGGTCAAACACACATCAGAAAATCCAGTGCTGATTCTGAAGCTGATGTCTGAGATGCTCTGATCACATGACACTCCTTGAACAGCTGGCTGTTCTCAGATCTGCATCAGATCCCATTAAAAGCTCTGTTTGGTCAGCGACCATTGCTATTGCCCCTAGAGCTGTGATGTCACATTTCAGGTGAGTCACAGAGTCGGTCACATGATGTGTTTCTTGTTGCTAAGAAACAGGAGCGAGGAAAGCCTGAGGGGCTGAATGAAAAAGACGCATCATTGTAGCCTTGATGTGTGTGTGTGTGTGTGTGTGTGTGTGTGTGTGTGTGTGTGTGTGTGAGGGAAAAAAATGACTGCAAAGGGGAATCTGTGATAAGACGGGTGTCTGTCGTCATCATTTTCTGCTGCCGCAATTGTGCACTGCCTCTCAGCTGGATCCACAAACCTCTAATCCCAATGGCTTCACCCACATGGATCATGCAGATACTCTACATCTGCTTAAATCACGATCAGGGGAAAACATTCACAAGCTGCCCTGTGAGGTACACGCTGTCTCTACCCATAAGGCTTTGCAGCGCCCATTGATATTCTGAATGTCACAACCTGCAAATACATTTCCAAGGTCAAACTATAAAGTCCTGAAGGGAAGGTCCTGTTTGGAGATCACATTAAAAGGACATTTAGACGCTGATTAACCAGCGCTGACTTAACAGATTTAAAGGGATACTTCAGCCAAAATTTAAACTCGCCCTTAAGTAGTTCCAAACCTTTTTTCTATTGAACTCAAAAGAAGATATTTTGAAAAATGTCAGAAACCAGTAACCATTGGCTTCCACAGTAAGGAAATCAATAGTTACCGGTTTCCAACATTTTTTCGAAATATCTTCTTTTGTGTTCAATAGAAAAAACTAACTCAAACAGGTTTGTGACAAAGTAAATTGTAAGTAAATGATGACAGAATTGTAAGTTTTGGGTGAACTATCCATTTAACAATATGTGCTCTATTTTAGTGATCTAGGCGCAAAGTCTAAAGTGCATGGCGCAAATGCATTTAGGGTGTGTCTGAATCCACTTTTGCTATTTTATGGATGCATGGTCTATCATGGTTGTGCTTATTCTCTATAGGGGTGTGTTTTGAGCATAACGTGCATTAAACCAATCAGAGTCTTATCTTCCATTCCCTTAAAGAGTCAGTTGCATCATGCCATGGTGCATTTGCTATTTACATGGCAAACTTTTTAAGTGGAAAAACTGAACACTTCACTAGCGAGAAAACAGTTAAACCATCTGCAGTGAGAGGATAAAGAATGAACCTCCTCCAATCAGCCTCTTTACTTTCTCTTTACTTTACCTTTACTCCTTTATTTTCTTGAATAAGGAAACAGTGTTGTACGCACTCCACTGAAGACATCCATTAGCCTATATATTTAATTTAGTTTGTTTAGCGCAAAGATTTGTTTCAAAACTATTTCTAAATTCAGTTCTAATTTCCAGCAAACTAATAAATGAACAACAATATCGAAGTGTGGTCAAAAAACCTTGCAGCAGACTGCCCGAAGTGGAGGTGCACCCTGACCAAACAGCTCAAGTAAGGTGAAAAGATCATGATGTGTGCGGCGGAGGACAAGCAAGTTCACCGAATGGTGCAGAACAATGACAGCCAGGGAGCCACCTATCGATGCGACTTCTGCAGCAAAGAATGACTCTCCCGTATTGGTCTCTTCAGCCACACAACGACGCCGTCTCAGACAATCAGTCATGCCTTAAGATATGAATCAGGATACATCATCCATGGTCAACACTCACCAACAGAGGCCTACTGCGTTTCCAAAACCCGACAGGCAGACCAATCTTAACTAGTTTTTATTAAAAAAAATATAATCAATTAATCAGTCAATTGCGCAGTCTATTTTAGTTTATCAAAATAACAACGCGCCAACATTGCACCTTAACACACCTCCTTCATAGACTGGAACACACATGAGTTCAAAAAGTGGTGCGAATGGATTTGCTATTTAAAGAACCTGGTGCAAAATGTGAAAATTAGAGTTGCAATTGTCTGAAAACAAATTGCGCCAAACACGTCTTGCACCTTAATACACTGGGTGTATGATAGGGCCGATAGTGTGTTTTGAGTATGACATTTATTCTATATGGGGCTGGAAAAAATTGGTATGTTTCTGAAATCTTTATGAGACCACAGTAGAGGCGAATAGCGTCATCTCTATAAAATAAACAAACAGAACTCAAAAATGACCTGAAATAACTCAACCTCCTACAGCTGATTTACAGCCTAATTAAACCGAGTGCTGGGCAATTAGAAATGCTGGACTAGAAAACATGCAAATATGCATACACAGATAATTACACTACTGCTGAAAAGTTTAAGGTCAGATTGGGGTAAATTATACTTATTTAGCAAGATTAAATTGAGTTACTAAAGAGTACTTATGAAGATTTTTACATTCATTTAATAATTTTCCTTTGGCTTAGTCTCTATTTTAGAGGTCGCCACAGTGGAATGAACCACCCATTATTCTGGTATATGTTTTATGCAGCAGTTGCCCTTCCAGCTGCAACCCAGTACAGTGAAACACCCATACACTCTCACATTCACAAACTCACAAACACACACACACACACACACACACACACACACACACACACACACACACACACACACACACACACACACACACACACACACACACACACACACACACAATGGCTAATTTCATTCATTTTCTTTTCCGCTTAGTCCCATTATTAATCTGGGGTTGCCATGGCGGAATGAACCCCCAACTTATCCAGCATATGTTTTATGCAGTGGATGCCCTTTCAGCTGCAACACATCACTGGGAAACACTCATACACACTCTTTCACAAACATACACTACGGCCAATTTAGCTGTCTTTGGACTGTGGGGGAAACCGGAGCACCCGGAGGAAACCCACGCGAACACAGGGAGAACATGCAAACTCCACACAGAAATGCCAACTGACCCAGCCGGGACTTGAACCAGACACCTTTTTAGTGTGAGGTGACAGTGCTAATCACTGAGCCACCGTGCCACCCTTAAGATTTTTACAAGGTATTTTCACAAGGTAAAACAAATTAATACTGATTTTCTAAAATGGTTTAAAAATGATTTACAACTAACATTATGCATTGAACTCTTATCAATACTGATAGCTACAGAAGCAAATCAGCATAATGATATTTTTTTTTGACACTGACTGAAGACTGGAATAATGATGATGAACACTAAACACCTCCAAGCCAACCACACTAAGTAACTAGATCTTTAAATATATTATGTTAAACAAAACTATTACTTGACAGTCAAAAATCTTTCTGTTTTTAGTTTTTTATTGTTATTAAATTGATGCTGCCCTAATGCCTAACATAAAAAAAACTTGCAGAACAAACTTTTGCACACCACCCAGCAGGCACAGGATGTCAACATATTATCACATTGACGTTGCACCCAACGTCTTAGGGACGTTGCATTTTGTTTGGAAATTTAAATCGGGTTGACGTCAATGTCCAACCTAAAATCAACCAAATATCAACGTCTAATGATGTTACAGCTTGATGTTGTGTGGACTATGACGTCTATTAGATCTATCTGACGAATAAATGTCGTGTATTTGACGTCACTATGACGTTGGTTTTAGATGATGGCTAGATGTTGGATTTTGATCACTTTCCAACGCAACCTAAAATCAACCAAATATCAACATCATTTCACGTCATTATTGGTCATCAAAATAACATGGTTCTTAGACGCTGGCTAGACAATGAATTTTGGTTGCCTGACATCACAACCTCAATCTAACCTAATATTGACGTCTTATGATGTTGTGTGCCTGCTGGGCATTTTGTTATGGTCGATAACCAATAAACCACTTGTATTATAAATCATCAATAATCAGGGGTGCTAAAATTAATTGTTTCTTCAATGCACCGCGATGCAGACACAAACTATTTGGTATTGGTTCAGTAATAATCATAACCGGTTATTATGTACTGACGTCATTTATCACATGTGGATTATATGGCGGTAGCTTACTATGGCGAGGGAGGAGACGGTAAGTAATTAAAACGCTCCCACTACTTAAAAAACGTAGATAACTGTGCACAATTCACTGCTTGTGAGTTTACTGGACAGTCTTTCACTGACAGGGAAGTACATCTGAACCCAGCTAGAAAAAAATTAAAGCTGTAAACTCTCTCTCACTCTCGGTGGCCTCTTTGACCCGCTGCCGTATTCGTGAGGTAACTTTTTCTCGGCTGTTATAACAGTAACGTTACTTGTGGATACAGACACAGCCATTTAAAATCAGTGTGTGTCACTGTTTGCTGAACAGCCTTTTTTGTTTAGTAAAAACCCGTTCAACAACATTCAAAAAGCAAGCGGGATAATATTTACATCTGTTTATTTGCTTTATTTACTTTAGTTTTGTTGATACATTCAAAAATACTGTTTTCCCTGAGCAGGTAAATATTAACCTCTTAAGGCCCATTCTGTTTTTTTACATGCATTTTTTTATTTCTCATTGTTATTTGAGATTGTTGGAACCCAATTAGAATAAAACCTAAGTATCATCTTTTGATATGATGTACTTTTAGAGAAAAACAATGTCCATATACAGTTGAAGTCAGAATTATTAGCCCCCCTGAATTATTTGCCACCCTGTTTAATTTTTCCCCAAATTCTGTTTAATGGAGAGCAGATTTTTTCAACACATTTCTGAACATAATATTTTTATTAACTCATTTCTAATAATTGATTTATTATATCTTTGCCATGATGACAGTAAATAATATTTAACAGGATATTTTTCAAGATACTTCTATAAAGCTTAAAGTGACATTTAAAGGCTTAACTAGGTCAATTAGGTTAACTAGGCAGGCTAGGGTAATTAGGCAAGTTATTGTATAATGATGGTTTGTTCTGTAGACTATCGAGAAAAAAAATTAGTTTA